TTATATGTTACCACTTTGAAGTGCCTAGTATTTGCTGCCCGTGCATATTTACCCTTACTATTCAAAGAACATTAAAGAGCATCTAAAATAAAACTCAGGAGGACACGTTGAAGTGTAAAAGACCTGTCCTGTTTGACTAAAGTTCAAAGACCTGTTTTGAAGACTTTAAAGGGCTTTCTCTCTGTATCCCGTCTGAATACGTGTTGAGTAAAAGTGAATTGAGAGCTGAAAAGAAGATCCCAGCCCCATGCATGGATTTCCCAGGACACAGTTAGTATGACATCAAAGGCAATAACCGAACGCAGTGCCAAGGTGTGTGCTCTCCTTCTCTCTCTCTGGCCTTTGTGCTGCGTGCATATTTCATTTCGGCCTTTGTGAAAGTGTGTGTGGGCCACTGTAGGTGGGAACGCCTCCCAGAAACCTTTGTGTCCGGTGCGGGACGCAGCGCAGGTGGCATGTCAGTGATTCGAGGGGGTTTTTACAACACATAAGGGCCTTTTGTGCCAAGTGTGATTGAGCTATCGCGTTTAAACGTGTGGGAGGAAACAAGACGAGGGCGATGAAGACGACACAAAGGCCTCCACCGAAGCAGATGGGTGGTGTCTGATCTGGCCGTTTGCCTCCTGTGACATACTACTGCGCCAGCTCTGAGGCGCAAGGTGATCCCTGCCTTTTTACTTCTTCCTGTTCGTGTCAATGGGCCGCTCAGATTACAGCATTAGGCTTGTGTAGGCGTCCGCAGCCAGAGCTGGCGTCACAGTGCCAACAAACTACTCTTCAGGTGTGCAACTGATCCATTTAAAACCTCTGCCCTTAACGGGGTGTGTGGGAAGGTAATTGAACCAAATTAAGAGATGGTACCTGTTGCATCATGACGCTGTATGTCCAGCCTTTGTCATTTCCGGCGCTCAGTCTGTGCATATGCTGCCACCACGACAAAAGAGATCGGTTTCATGCTCTTCAGCTGTATGACTAAGTGCATTAATCAAATTACCTCTTCCTTTTCTCATTCATCAGTTCCTACCAGCTTCATCTGGAGGATCAAAGGCTGGTGTCGCACACAATAATACATCCCACCATGTTAATCAAAATATAACAGGCGTTATTTATTATTTATTTATCTAATTCATTATTTAATTACCTCTCATGTGAATCTTAGGTTGTGGACACATACAATCATCACATATAATTTCAGCTCATACTAATTTCAGTGGTGTTGTAAAGTCAAGTCATATTATGAAAAGTGCAATACAAATGTATTTATATAACGCTTTTCATAATATCCATCATTTTAAAGCATGTTGTGGACTTCTGGTAATTAATGTTACATTTGCATCTGATGTTTTCATAGTTTATCTTACACTACGAACAAGCAATCAATACTACAATATTTTGGTGACAATTCTGTCATCATTTACTCACCCTCAAGTCTTTTCAAAATTGTATGACTTACTTGAACACAAAAGAAAACATTTTGAATAATGTTGGTGTCCAAACAACACTGGACCACATTGATATCATTGTATGGATACACATATTTGTAAATATCTTCTTTTATGTTCCACAGAAGAAAGAACGTCATACAGGTTTGGAACGACAAATGATGACATTTACAATTTGGGGTGAACTGTCACTTTAACATTCTTTTTTATTGAAACCAAGATACATCAAAAACTCAGTTCTCACGTTTAAATGTTTTTAAACACTTTCCTACATTGTTTAAATATATATATATATATTAAAATAAAAAACATGATTAATATGCAATATTGTAAACATAATGAGCCAATCATAATGATTCAAATAACACAGATTGGCATCATAACATTGACATGGTAACCAGCCAATCAGAGCGATGTCGAGGCACTGCCTCCTGTCATGTGACTTTTTTCTTTTTCACTTTTCAATTCAAGCCACGCAAAATAAATAAATAAAATGAATGGATAGTGACCCCACATTTTTACAGATTTTACAGGTTGTGCTTGTCAAGAATCTCATTTGTATAATTGTCCCATGGTAGCAGTTATCATTTAGTGAGAATTTAAGTAAATAGACAGACAGACAGACAGACAGATAGATAGATAGATAGATAGATAGATAGATAGATAGACAACTTCTCAGATCCCATCACTGGCTGTCATATGACATCTCAAAACCAAACCAGCCTCACTAATTTTAATGATATTGGTACTTATTTTAATTTATAATTTATTTTTAGTTATAGACTCAAAGTCCTTTCATAAAAGGCACAATGTAGACACAAAACTCTACCTGCCTATTAGCGAATGAATACACCCCAAGGACCATTCAATATCTAAAAATTGCTGTCGAAATTACATGTTTGCTCGCCAGCTACAATTAAATAGCACTAAATGAATATGGCTTTGGTGATATTTTTAGATGGTCCTCTCCTTCACAGAAGCTGCAGCTCAGGGTCAGAGATTTTCCCCTTGCTTCAATTACCTATTGATGAGAGGGCTTCCCTGCTCTGGCACTGCTTTGGAAAAAGTAAGTCTGGTTTGCTTTTAAGATGTCTCAGGAATGATGGCGGCCGGTGGGATCTGAGCAGACGACGCATGCAACAGAAGCTGCCTTTTAATACTTGTCTGATGTTGCTCACAAATTATTCTTTTCTTTCATCAGTCTGAGTTTTTTTATTTTTAAATGTCTCCCTTATATTTTTGCTAAATGATAATTGCTACCTTGGGATAATAGTCAATACTGTATAGCTTGGTTTTGATAATGAGCAACAAAATATGCCCTGGAGAAACCTAGAGAGTCTGTCTCATGCCACACATGTAGACAATTACTCCACACCCATCTGCCATTAGGCAGCGTTACAGAGAATGTTTTCTACTTAATTAAATCCAAATCTCTCAATAGTGGAGCCCGAATGAAATATAATGTGTCTGTTTGGGTCTGGTTTCTTTTCTGCTGCCTTCTTCTTCATTGGTCGTGAGATCTATCAGCTCACACTAATATGAAAAGTGTAAAACAATCTCATTTTAAATTAGTTAAAATATATAAATGTGTTTATTAAATACACTGGCAAATATGTAAAATGTTGAATGCATTAAGTTAAACTGATCAAAACGTGTCACACACACTTTAAACTTTACAGAGACCTCAGTGCTGTATGTTTAAAATAATATTAGTAACTTCAAAATTAGCCTTTTATTTTCATCACCATATTTTTCTAATATGTTCTTCTGACCTGATCAAAATCTATAAACCAGATAACAAAAAAAGAGGTTTAAATCTGAATCACAAAGTCAAAAAAGTCAACAAAACTTAAAAATAAATAAATAAAAACAATATTTCTACATTAAAAACATTGTAGAAGTATACTATAAAATAACATGTTTTATATCTACAGTATTTAAGAACACATACAAAAGTAATTTCTTTCATGAATGACATATGAAGCATGTTATCAAGTTGAAGTAATTTTTTTGAGCTATCAGACAGGACTGGTTGTCTCTAATATCCCAAACAGATCATGAGGGTTAAACAGATCTGGTATCAGAATGCAATTATCCACCAAATCTAAAATGTTGCTTTAAATCAAAATATGGCTATTTTAAAACTCTCGGAGCATAAAAATATTGCTGTATACCTCTTGTAATAAAACCACACAGAAACTGAACAAAGTGAGGGTCTCAGGTGGGCTTTTACTCTGCATCTGCACTAACCACAATCAAGAAATGCTCCCCATCAGCAAGTGCTAAGCTTTCCCCATCCTGTTCTCATCCTGGTCTAGTCTCACCCCTGGGAGCATGCTGAGGATCAGAGGTTAACATGCTAATAGAAGGCACTGATTGCTGCAAGTGGCTCTCGGATTTGCGTACGGCAGAGAACAGCACGCGTGCAAAGCAGACATTCAGACCTGAAAACAGCTTTACAACATTTCTCTTAGAGGATTCGGCAAAACCCATACATCAGAATGAATGGGTTCTCTTACTTTTCCTTCGTGACATGAGAAAGTCATATTTCTTTATGCACAATATAGATTTGTGCTTGCCTGTTAGTTAGTTCGTTTTTTTAAATTTCAGACATTCTTATATATTATTAGTATAAATATAGTATATTTCTTAGCATGGTGTCAACAAACATAATAAATTATAAAAAGAATATGATTTTCAGCAAAGTGAGCATGATTTAAAAATAAATAAATATATCTGGAGCCCTCAATGGCACAGTAATAAAAAAACAAACAAACAAACAAAAAAAAAAAAAAAAAAAAAAACAAAAAAAAAA